AATCCATTGTGGCGTAACCCGATCCCACCGTATCATCATTTATTAGTATTAATCCTCCTTTATTCCATCATAGTATCATTAATCAATATCAAGTTTCACGTATACAATCCGTTGCGCCGATCCCACCGTATTATCATTTATCAATATCATAATCATCCCATATTCCACCATATCATCATTTATCAATATTAATTATTCCGTACACAAACCGTTGCAGCGCGCAACCCGATCCCATCATATCATTATTTATCAATATCATAATCCTCCCTTATTCCTCTATTTTAATTTATTATCCTTTAATTCCTGTTGTGGCTTTCAAACCGATCCTCAAACAATACGAATTAAGCAAACAAACTACAACCAACTACGATGTATCAACAAAATTAAACGAATTTAAAAACTAAAAAAAGAAGGTCACGAGCAGATATATATATATATATATATATATATATATATATATATATATATATATATATATATATATATATATTTAGACCATTCATCGAATGTCCAAATGATGAACGATTTACTTTTCTGGAAACTAGAATCAAAGGGTTACAACTTTCATGTTTTGATAATCTCTATATTCCTTATATAGTGCGAGATATAAGCTTCCAAAGTCAGCTCTACACATCAGAAATTTCGCACACTGCTGTAGCCAAAAACTGCAGCACCAGACTTCAGTAAGTCGATCATAACTTTCTGTACAAATGTCCAAATGATGAATAATTTACTTTTTTGAAAACTAGAGTCAAAGGACTACAACTTTTGTGTTTTGCTAATCTCGAAATTCTTCATATATTGCGAGATATAAGCTTCTAAAGTAAGCCTTGTGCATCTGAAATTTCACTATTGTAGCCAAAAAAACCATCAGTTAAAAATGGCCTAGAAATGGTCCGAAACCACTCTGAAACTCACCCGAGCCACTCGGGACCCCGTCCGAATATACCAAAAGTCTCATAACATAATACAGACTTAGTCGAGGCCTGTAATCACATCAAACAACACCGAACAACGAATCGCACCTCGAATCGAACTTATGAGTTTATGAAATTTTCCAAATTCTATATCTTGTGCCAAAACGTATCAAACAAATCCGGAATGACTTCAAATTTTGCATGAAAGTCATAAATGACTTAATGGAGCTGTTCAGAATCGAATTCTGACCCCAATATCAATAAAGCCAACTCCCGGTCAGAATTTCCAAAAATCTTCTATTTTTCAACTTTCGCCAAAATGCGCTGAATTGTCCTACGGACTTCCAAATTCAAATCCGGACATACGCCCAAGTCCGAAATCACCATACGATGCTATTGGAATCATCAAAATTCCATTCCAGAGTCGTTTGCTCAAAAGTCAAACTCCGATCAACTCTTTTCATTTAAGTTTCAAAACTGAGAGTTGTTCTTTTAATTAAATTCCGAATCTTCCGAAAACCAAACTCGACCGTACACGCAAGTCATAGTACATATTACGAAGTTGCTCGGGACTTTAAGTCGCTGCGTGGGGCGTAAATTCTTAAAACGAGAAGTCGGGTCGTTATAATAGCTATGAAGTCAACCTACGGTCAAACTTATCAAAATTCTAAGCCTTTAAATTGCCAACTTTCGGCAAAACAACACAAATCAACCTACGGACCTCCGAAATCGATTTCAGGCATAAGCCCAAGTCCAAAATCATGATACGAACCCTCGGAGCCATTAAAACACCGTTCCGGGGTCATTTCCACAAAAGTCAAACCACGGTCAATATTTTCAACTTAAGCTTCTAAAGTGAGAACCACTCATCCAAATTCAATCCGAGCGTGTACACAAGTCATAATACACAATATGAAGCTACTCAAGACATCAAATCGAAATCTTAAAGCTCAAAACGACCGGCCGAGTCATTACAATTGTATGATCCGATTACTCATAAGCTCATGAGTCCAAATCTATCTTTAATTTTTAATTTAAAGTCTAATTGCATATTCAAATTTCAAATTTACCCCAGTTTTAAGTTTAGGGCTAAATTTCAATATTCTACTATTAAATTTCAAAAAATTTGATGAAAAATTCAGTTGACAATCATATATATGGCCAAAATACATGAACAAGGTCCTTACCTCAATCCAAAATGAATATTCCAAGTCAAATCCCTTCGAATTCGTAGTCAAAGTTTTCTTTCTTTCCCCCCTTTTCCTATTCATTGTCACAATTCAAAGCTTCTCCGAAGCTTACGTTATTTGCATAAAATTTCAGCTCCCCATATCATTTTGTCTCCATCAATAGCAGTGGTCTTAACTCAAAATAGCTTGAGAAATTGATGAATCTTATAAACTTTATACTCAACTTAAAGAAGCACTATAATCTCTAATACAAAATATGTTGAACTAAAGTTGCAGACATATACTCCTTCCCCAAATCGCCTCTCAATTAACGTAATGGGTCCAAATATTCCTTCATGCTTCCGCCGTCAATAACTTCTCCAAAGGTTCCCCTTTGAGTTGGTATTTTATCCCAATGAGACTTCTTATCAAATATGAGACCTAATCTACTTATAACCTTCTTCCCGGTGATATCATATCACGTGAGACATTTAGAATGAGTTTGCCCTACTTGTTAAACTTTTAAATAATAAACTAAAGTCACTTGCTTCTAATTCTCGATATGTAATATACCATTGATCCACTAATAACTTATTAATTTTTTATCTAATATTTTCCAACAGTAAAGTATATAGGTGCATACATATTATATTAATCTATACTATATTAAAAACAGGAACCCCTAGATTAAAAAGTCAAATTACTTTTATACCCTCCTTACTAAAAACCTAATTACCGTACCTGGCGAGAAAATCCATACGAACCGATGTGTTCATTCGGAGAACTTTTACTTATCCAGGTCAACGGATGCGCTCCTTCTAAAAAATACGTAAATAAACTTCTTCACCTCTTTCGTTATTGTTTATAAGTATTTGTACTTTCTTTTGTTCTTCAACTTTTGATACTTTTTCAAGCCACAACAATTAGTCCAATCCCAATTAAGAAGGTCAGCCTCAACTTCGTTGTTTCTATGGCGTTTCAAACAAGTAAATTTTCATTTTTCCTGCTCTATTATTTGCTTTTTTACGTCTTCTGGTTGGGAAGCATGTTAAAAAATTCTCTATTTTGTCCCATGATAGTGACTATCCAAGTTAGAAAACCACGTAAATTTGCTGGTGAAATCCTTTTTTGTTTGTTTGTGGGTGTGTATATGAGAACCATGCCCTGTTATGTGTTTTTCCTAATATGTTATTTGGATTAGGCAGTCCATTGGTAATATATCTGCTTTTATAATTTAAAATATTTTAATATACTAACAAATAACAATAACTTTGTGTTTCAGATACTAAGTCTATTTTCCTGCATGGAGAGGTTAACAATATCTAATCATATACAAATTTTTTATATGAAATATGATTTGACCAAAACAAAAAGTTCAAGAGTGAAACAACTACTTATAAAAGTAAAAAGTTTGTACATGCAAGTTTAGTTGAAACTTTAACTATCATCCTCTTCCTTCTCATTGACATTTGACTCTTTCTTTGTTGTCTATCTTTCTAATTTATCCCAAGGTTCTCCATGTAAAACACGAATACAAGACAACTCTAATGAAGTATCGAAAAGATTTGTGCTAAAGCATTTCGTAACATAAATTGCTCCAGAAAATGAATGTTCGATGAAATATGTTGCCATATGACTTATAACTCTGCTATTAATTGCTTCTTGCTCTTGTAGTTGAGATCTTATATATATATTTAAGAAAGAACGAAATCACACATATATTTACCTACAGTTCTATGAGTCCTTATTATACGCTTTTAGTTTGTTGCATGCCTTGAATAATTACATTAATATAGATAATATACTTCTAATAATTAAAATTAATATAGACAATATAATTCTTCCAAATTGGGAATATATATTTTTTACTATATGTGGATCATTTCAGGAAAAGAAAAAGCAACACTAAAGGCCATTTTGATATATGTATCAATCCCTTCTATGTTTTCCTCTTTATCTAGGTCGTATTTTAATTTTTTTTCCAAATATTAAAAATGTTTCTTTGTTAAATTAATGTAAAGTAGAGATCCTCAATGTGAAGGAAGGACTATGATCACCTAAGAAAGACATCGAGCTCTACGATTTTATTGAAAAAAATAAATCGGCTAATTTTAAATAGTACATGGGATATATGAATCTTTTTCCTTTGTTTTCTCTTATTTGATTACCTAATTTTTACTAACTAGATAAAAAAATAACTTATTATGCAATTTAATCTTTCATATTCACTTATGAGATTAAACTGTAACACTTATTGATCTATAAATAAATATTACTTATAGGTGTATCTGATGAAACTGGAGCTTTTATGCATGATATGTACTTTAAAATAGAAAAAGTCAGACATGAATATTTTAGCAAAGAGCAATTAACCTTGAGAAGTCAATTATTCCAAAGTGCAATTGATATTGTTATGGCTGAAGGATATAGAGAAGATAAAGTTGATCAAAGAATGCTTCTTTTGACATCGTCTATAGAAGGAATCAAACTTCAAAAGGGAAATATAACTTAATTTAATTGATAATGTGATGGCTAGAAGAATTGAGATAGAGTTTGTCAAAGAGTTTGCCTTTTGATTTTTTTAAACAAAGGTTCTTAAGGTTATGCGAGAATACTAGGTTTTGATATATCCAATTTGTAATTTTTGACTAAATTTCATGTTATTCTAATATGTATGTGTTTAATATTTTATTTTATGTATTGTATTAGAAAATAATATAAAAATACACGTGCATCGCACGTGCAGAGAGACTAGTATAATCAATACAATGAAAAAATAACCTAAAAGTTCACTCTTAAAAATGATGGGTTATTACACTTTAAATCTCTTTTGCACCCGATTATCATATCATTTTGATGAACGCAAGCAACTCCAAACCATATACATTATAAAATGGATCAAACAAAGTATACATGAATTCATAACCTCATCTCCTTTATGTTTGCCGCTCATTCTCTATCGCTTTATATATATATTGACGTTGGTACAAAATATTTACATAATCAAATTATTTATAACAGTAATAACAAATTTGATACACGCTACACTAACAATGTAAATAAACTTTATATTGTCAATTGTACGAACATAAGTCTAGTTATAATTAATACTTGTATAATTTTTTTAACCCCACCATTGGTGTACAGCAACACCCTCATCCCTTAACATACCATACAAAGATAAACATTCCCAATATGCCCTCCTACTTTTCTTTTTATCACCTTTTTTAATACCTTGATGTTTGCACTCCAAGAAGAGTTCATCAACTAACCTAATTGCTTTGTTTCTCACCATTTCTTCAACCACTTCAGCTTCTGCCTTCATGACCACATATTCATTTTCTTTCACATTCTTGTTTAGCCAATCAGACATTCCAATCAATTGTACTGATGACTCTTTGTTTACTGTTTCAATCTTAAATATCTCGAATTTCGTATTCCTCGTTGGATAATGCTTCGAAAACCAACTCGAATCGCCTGATGCTTCGCTCTTTTCTTGTAAACCAACATCAATGAAGACCCTTCGTGGGTAACTTTCTAGTGGAATATCCATCAATTCTGACAAATAACGAGTCCGTTTGAGATATCTGCTAGATTTACCTGATGCTGCTCTTGGTGGTTCAAGTAATACATCTTCTAGTTTGTTCAGTGCTGCCTCTTTTGCATTTGGAGCAAAGTTGAACAATTTTCTATGATGTGTAGTAGGAGCAGGAGTAGTACTAGTTTTGGTAGAGGCATAAGTAGTAGTTGTCTTTTTCATGGCTATAATTGTGGAATCAAATTTTCGAACATAGACAACTTTATAGTTTGATGGTTGTAGAAATGTAGTCATGGGGTTGTCGTTAATTAGTTGAACAACAACAATACCACCTACTTTAAGAGCGGGATCAATAAAATTGAGAGATTTGGAGAAGGGGCAGGGAATTAGTGCAAAGTCAAAAGACTCTTCAAGAATAATGGGACAGCTTTTTTTACGTGTCAAATCTGAAAAAGAAATCAAATAATCCATCTTGTAATCACTTGTAACTTGAGAATTGTAAATAGCTTGATCTTCATTTCCATTGGTAATAAGTAGGGACCTATCCCCCATTTTGAGAAGGCCTTCATTGGCCAAATCATGAAAAATGAGAGGCAAAAACTCCAACTTGATGGGATTATTATAATTAGCCAACTCATCAACTTTAGAAACATTAATATATCCATAGCTCGATGTTAAACCCCTGATTATGGTATTAATCGAGAGAATAACCAATGCCAAAATGGCTGCTTGAGAAATCAACTTCACCAAATGGGTATCACCGTGAAAGCCTAAGGCATGATCCATGTATAGGCTTTTCATTTTGTCATGTTTCTTGGTATGCAACAAACTCGCTGTTTTATACGTCATGTTTAAGCACATGAAAATCCCGCTCCCACTGCTGAGTCCTGGGAGAATTTTCGTCCTACCGGCACGAATCTAAATTAGTCGGGGGCAGTAGGTAAAAGAAGAAGGTTGAGGCTAGCCGAGAAAGGTTGAAGGTGTTTGCAATTTTTGGAAAAGAGAGCATGCAAATTATAATTCAATCTAACAACGAAAGGGGAAGTGGTAGAGAGTTTGGATTGGCAAGAATTTTAACGAGTGCAAAACCTAGCAGCGGTGTGGTTTCCACCCACGAGGGCAACACGATTACTTTGCAATTTTGAAAATAACCACAATAATTCTTGTAGCCTTTGAACCTCCATTTCTAAAACTATATAAATCTCCTTCCTTTTGTATGGTTTCAGATCGACATGACTTTTTATCTACTTTTCATAAATTAATTGCAAAGGAACAAAATACCTCCAATTAATAATATTTTTGGCAATCGATCCGAAAGAAATAAGGAAGGAGGAAGAAGTACAAGAGAAAAAGACTAAAGACTTTATTTCTTTTTTGAGTGTTTCTCTTTTCTTTTATGATATCTAAATGCTTTTGTTGTCCTTCCTTTTAAAAGGCTATATAGCAACTAATATAGTACAAACGGTTTCATAGAAGAAAGTTGTTAGAAAAAAGAGAAAAGTCATTTCTTGTTTGAAAGAATGGTTGGTAATGCGGAAATTTCTAACGCAAAACTAATGGTGAAAATTTGTTTACTATGTTGACCAATTTGGTTAGGGGAATGAACAAACTAAACAAATATTAAAGGTTAGCATTAACTATTTCACTATAACCATTGAACAAGAATTTGTTATACGTGTTGGTGCGCCTAACTATTGTCATCATTGTAGTGGGATACAATCATATTACTTATTAGATAATTATCGATAAATATCTTGACAAATATTAATTGATAATCTGGTGAAAATAATTGCTAACATGTAATTACAAGTTAAATTTGACAATCAGTGTAAATAAATTTTACATTATCAGTCTAAAAGTTGTAAAGGTAAATGGGTCTGGAATCCCTTTAAGTAACTTACAATTATGGTGGCTATGATAAGTTTCCTCCTAAGATTACTAATATTTCTCCAAAACGCATTGTCCTAGCAAATCAAAAGATAGTACCATTTCATTCAAATTCAATGTTCCTCCACTAGACAATCTTATGTCTGGATTTCGATTTGGTCTTGCAACATTGTATTTAGATAATGTTCAAATCAAATGATACATTATTCATAAACATAACTTGATTTTGAGTCGTTGTTCATTTTAAACAAGTGTGGATTATTAGAAAATTATTGTTTAAATATAATTAATACGTAATTAAATAAAGGACAAGATGTTAGAAATTGTCGTGTCTTCTAGAGACTCCTAGTGTGGCCCACATATAAAGTAATAAATTATTTGCCTTGTCTCCCAAATGAAATAATATATCAGATAATATTCTGTAGTTATGCATATATGGTAGTTTCTTTGTTGAAAAGAAATTACCATATATTAGGAGTCCCTAGGGTAATTATAATTTATGGAGAAGTCCCTAAGTCTAAAGTATTTACCTAATAGTCCCTAGCCTACCTATAAATACGCCTGTGACTCCATTAGTCTGGCATCCTACGATAGGCACAGGCTAGAAGGCTCTCTAGGTTTTCTGCTAAAGGTTTTAAAGGCAATTCCACACATCACTTGAAAAATCATTGTTGGAGTTATGTTCTTATTGCTATTCCGCTACGTTGGCTTTGTGTTTGTATTCGAATTATCAACATGTGGTATCAGAGCCAACCTTTTAGTTGTGTTGTTCAGTATCCGTTGATAATGCTTGTGCATATTGTCTACCATTAAAAGTCGTCATATAACATGGATTTCTCTAGTCTACAGAGAAAATTATAGTTTTGCTCGGCGTTGATTTCATAAAGTCTGTGACCTTTATATATATCTATGCCGACATATCAATTTTTTTTAAAGAGAAGCTTAAACTTGATGAAATCGTGTTCTTTATATTTTGGCTTTACTGCGTATTCTGTTTGAACAGCTTTCTCTTCCTACTATTAGCCTTCTATGAGAAACCGTGATTTGCCTTCTTTCTATTAGCCTTTGTAAAAATTGATTTTATTCAAGATTTTGCCTTTGATCTTGACAAGAAGATCTTATTGGCTAAAACAATCTTTTTGACTTGATTGTTTATATGAAAGAGCCTGTTGTTCATATGAATACTTGACATGATCTGGTTTCTCAAGTTTGTGGCATGACTAATAGGAAGTTCCATGTTTGACAATAATTAAAGTATTGAATCTACTTTTGGTATTTAATTGGTAATTAAATCACGCAGGGTTAAATATACGGTGCTAGTATTTACAGTGTTTTGATAACAATTTATTTGTCTTTGGTTATCACGTCATCTATACATTTTAATTAAGCCCATAATTGTGCTTAATATTCTGAAGTTTCCTTTTCATATTTCACCAAATTTGTATGGTTTTGTCCTTAAGTAAGTTATAAGAAAAGGAATAGCTAAATGTTCTACTTACTGTTCAACTTCTTATAATGTTTTTTAATTATAAGAATTGACCTTTAGAAAAATGTAGCGTCATGCTTATGTCCAGTATACTCTTTTAAAGCTAATCAACATTTTGTTAGGTTGATTATTAAAGTTTATTATTCTTAGATGTTATTTTTAGTGTTCTTCTATGTGATGTACTTAGGAATAGCACGGCATCTTGAGTACTTGATTTAAAAAAATTAAGTTGTTTAATCACATAAAGTTTAGTGACTAAAATTATAATGACATCTATTTAGTTAAGTTATCTCATTAAGATGGTAACCCGGCCCTACAGGGAGGTAACCATTTTGGTGAGATTAATTGGTATGAGATAGTAAACCTTTAAGTTAAAAATTATCTTATGCCCATAGGTACAGATTAATTTTTATGTATTTTGGTTTACTAGTCTAATAAAGTAAAGTAAATTCTATGCATGGGTTGCAACCTCTGCCCACAGGAGGGTTTAGAATTTACTTAGAATCGGTATTTTACGCGATTCACCTTTGATGGATTGTACTTCATAGCTTATGTATGTTTATCCTTATTTTGCTGTCTTTATCGCTTTTCCTATTGCTATTTTTAATGAGAATGCTCTAATTCCAATGCTTTCTGGTGACAATTATACTGAATAGAAGGAGAAAGTCCTTCTCACTTTAGGGTGCTCGGATCTGGACCTGACACTCCATGTGGATGAACCACCTATTCCCACGGAATCAAGTACGTCAGCGCCTAAGGCTGATTATGAGCGGTGGGAGCGATCTAATCGCTTAAGTTTAATGCTCATCAAAGCCCACATAAACCAAAGTATTAGAGGTTCTAACCCTAATAGCGATAAGGTCAAAGCTTACATGAAAGCAATTGATGAACACTTTATAAGCTCTGACAAGGCATTAGCCAGCACCCTTATGAAGAGGCTCTCAAGTATGACTTTCGAAAAAAGTCGTGCAGTGCGTGAGCACACGTTATGGAGATGAGAGACATTGCTACTAAACTCAAGTCCCTTGAGGTTGATATATCTGAACCATTTCTTGTGCATTTCATTCTCAACTCACTTCCACGGAATATGGTCCGTTCAAGATTTCTTACAACACACATAAGGATAAATGGTCAATCAATAAACTTTTGACCATGTGTGTTCAAGAAGAAGAGAGGTTGAAGCATGAGATACCTGAAAGTGTTAATACGATGACTCATGGTAAGAGAAATGCAAAGAAGGGCAAAAGTGTTCTCATGAAGAAGAAAAGCACCTTTGACAAAGATGCTTGTCGTTTCTGTAAGAAAAAGGGACACTGGAAGAAGGATTGCTTGAAATACAAGAAATGACTTGAGAAGAAAGGTAATTTTACCCTTGTATGTTATGAATCTAATTTTACTGAAGTTTCTGATAATACATGGTGGATTGATTCTGGTGCTACAATTCACATTGCCAAAATCATGCAGGGCTTTCTAACTCAGAGGAAGCCAATAGGAAGTGAACAATACGTCTATTCTTGCAATAGGACGCGTTCACGTGTTGAAGAAGTGGGGACTAATAGGCTCATTTTGAAGGATGGTTTTCACTTAGATTTAGAAAATACTTTTTATGTTTGTAACGACCCGACCAGTCGTTTGAGCTTTTGCACTTCGCTCGCCAGTCCTCGGGCATGACTAGCCCCGTGTGATGTATTATGACTTATGTAAATCATCGGTTTTGGTTTTCAAGGTAACCGGAATGAATTTCGAAGAAACAGTTCTTAGTTTGAAGCTTAAGATTTCAAATGTTTGACCAAGATTTGACTTGTTGGTATATGATCTAGGATTGGAATTTTTATGATTTGGTTAGCTCCGTTAGGTGATTTGGGACTTAGGAGCATGATCGGAATGCAATTTGGAGGTCCGTGGTAGATTTAGGCTTGAATTGGCGAAATTGGAAATTTTGGTGTTTTCCGGTTGACAGGTGAGATTTTGATGTAGGGGTCGGAATGGAATTCCGGAAGTTGGAGTAGGTCCGTTGTGCTATTTGTGACGTGTATTTAAAATTTCAGGTCATTCGGACATGGTTTGGTATACTTTTTGATCAAAAGCGGAATGCGAAAGATTTTAGAAACTTAGGCTTGAATCGATGTGTTTTGGTAGTTTTGATGTTGTTTGAGGTGTTTTGAAGTTTGGTATAAGTTTGAATAAGGTTATGGGATATGTTAGTGCTTTTGGTTGAGGTCCCGGGGGCCTCGGGGTGATTTCGGATGGTTGGCGGAGAGTTGAAAGTTTGATGAAGCTGCAGATTTTTGCTGCTTCTGGTATTTCCGCACCTGCGGATTGGGGAACGCAGGTGTGGCGCCGCATATGCGAAAGATGGGCGCAGAAGCGGCCAGAGGTGCATTTGGGCTGGGACCGCAGAAGCGGTAGTTTGACCGAACCTGCGATGACGCAGATGCGGTTGGGTCATCGCAGATGCGGAGAAGCGGATTTAAGTGAGGACCGCAGATGCGGTGGTCAAGACCGCAGATGCGGCGAAATGACCGCAGATGCGGAAAGGTCTGGACAGAAAAATATAAGTTAGTTCCTTCGCGATTTTTAGAAGGTTTTCTCACTTTTTAACACGAATTTGAGAGCTTTGGGCGATTTTGAAGAGAGAATTCAAGGTGAACTCATTGAGGTAAGAACTTTGGACCTAAAAACTCGATTCTATGGTATTAATGCATGGGTTAGAGCGGTAATTAAAGGTAAAATTAGAGAAACTAGGGCTTAGAAACCTAGGCCGTTGATTGAGGTTTTGGATGACCATTTGCGGTCGGATTTTGGAACTTTTCATATGTATGAACTCGTGGGGAGATAAGGAATCTAATGATGTTAATTTATCGAATTCCGAGACGTGGGCCCGGGGTCGGGTTATGGTAATTTTGGATTTTGTGATGCTTTTCGATCATTTTTGAGTGGGCTTCGTCCCTTTAGCATAAATTAATGATTACGTTCTGATTTTGATAGATTTGGAGCATCCGGAGATCGATTCGAAGGGCAAAGGCATTGC